TATAACTCACAGAAGACAAACTGGAAGCAGAAAATGAATGCATAAAAGTTCTAATGAAAAAATACAGCGATGCTAAAGAACAGATTATCGTTGAATAAGTATATTGATACATTCTCACAAAATATAATTAAAAAATACTTAAAGAACTTCGTTGGTCTTTAACGAAACTATATATATATGTCTGTGTGTGTGCGCGTGTGTGTGTGTCTAGAAAGAGTGTTCCAAAAATGACTAAGGGGTCTAAAAGTTGTTAAAATTTGCTTTATTAACTTTTTATTTCGGGTATTTTATAAAGGATGTTTTGGAATTGAAAGACTGAAAAACGAACATGTCTCTACCGAACCAAAGATCAATAATTGAAACTCAATGAGCATATCGTCGCCATTGCGGTGTGAGAGATTCTCCAAGTTTTGAGAGTAAAGATTCAGCAAGTGACGTTCCACGAAGTGGCATACCACGTTCGATTAGGAATGTAGGAGTATTTGAACGAGTAAGAGGGAGTATCAAAGAAGATCCGAGCGAATCCACTCAAAGGCGGGCTCGACAGGATTGGATCTCTCGGACGTCTCTCCAGCGGATTTTTAATTGCATTCACCTGTTTCCATATAAGATGGGGCAACAGCTCATATGACAAGGGCTACAATTCATCTTTCTCGTGCAGATTTGAGGAAAAAAAAATAATTTCTCATGGTTACAGCATAAACTTGCCACCACGTTCTGATGGCTGTGATTGAAAATGCCTTAGAAAGGGAACGTTCATGCGAAACGGAAATGGCCCCACTTAAAAACTAGTGTAAATTTATTTTCAATATCTACTCTATATAATACTATGGCATCGTGAATTAGAGTTAAAAAGTAAAGGTGTTATTATTTTTTAAAATCTCTTGGTGACTGTTAGGACATATATATCTGTATCTATCTATCTAACTATCCGTGCACCAACGGATTAGTGGTAGAATCTCCGACTAACGCCAATTCAGTAGGATTTCGATCCTAGATAGAGGCAACCAGATGTCTAGCCACATCGATGAGCTGCGAAACAGTCTGTCTGCGCATGACTATATATATATATATATATATATGTTTCATTAAATTATATAGACAAGTGCTGTCTATTTATTTTATGTAAATTATTTTCATAACGTCATAAAATAAATCGACAACACATGTCTATATTATTTAATGAAACATATATAAATGAAAAAATGCTGCCTAAATACACACACACACACACACACACTATATATATATATATATATATATATATATATATATAAATTCTCCGTGGATTACCAGATTTTACAATTAAAGACATTGTGGATTTCTCTAATATCTAAACGTCGAAAACTATTAAATGATTTTTTCAATGTATCTTGAGAATGAATTCTCAGATTTAAAAAAGTGTTCTGCCATAAAATCATGAAGGTAAAAGAACGTCATTGGCAAAGTTTACATTTGTAATGAATTTATCTATTAGACGAAGCGTCGAATTAGTCGCTATATTTGACCAGACGATGAAAGGTAACTACAAAATTATGCTACTCTGTTTCTTCTGTTACTTAATTAATAATTATCAATATCTCATTTGAATTCCAGTGTATTTTCTAAATAGACTTTTCAATTTTAAACTAATTAAAGGTGAATCTGCTGTCAGAGAAGAAAACTAGAATCAGGAAATTCGGGCTCCTAAAAGATCATGTAAAATCTGAGAATTAAAACGACTAAACTTTTGATTAGCTGTAAAGAAAATCAACTCCTCTTTACGAACACTGTAGTCCTTAAAAACTCCCCACCAGTTTAAAGTTTAATAGAAAATATGAATCATGTGGCTGATCAATCAACACTCTCTTGCCAAAAATAATTTATAAGGGTGAAATAAAAAAAGAAAAATGCCATGTTTTTTTTTTTCTTTATTATATATGATACGTCTTAGGAAAAATAGTAGAGTGGTTTCCCGTTGCCTCAGTTCCATATTACTATTTTATATACTAAATAATGAAGAAAAGAATAATATTTATAAACACTATATATCAGACTAGTAGTGGGTAGTTTTTCTTTTTTGAAATTCAACTACCTACAATACATATTCTTTATTCCTTTATATATTTTCTACACTCTAGTCCCATATAAAGGAAACTGTAATTTTTATTCGGTCGAGTTAGGTCGGACTTTAATGAGTCTATCATGCCACCCATCACTGTCCTTTATCAAGGTCGGTAGGTCATTAGGGATGCATTCTGTGTCATAATATAGCTGGTCAATGTAGGTGATTGCTACGCGATCAAACCATCTTGTGCCATGGCTAGGTGCCCAGAACAGCATCACAAACACCAAAACTGGAAGAACATAAGATTATTACTATATATATATATATATATATATATATATATATATATATATATATATATATATATATATATATATATATATATATATATACAGTCCCCTCCAACATTATTAGAAGAGCAAGACCGATTCCTTCGTTTTTGTTGTTCACTGAAGACATTTGTGTTTAAGATTAAAAGATTAATATGAGACAAGAGTTAGGAACTTTATTTCCTGGTATTTATATTTACATGTGATAAACAGCTTAGGGCATTCCACAATTTGTATCAAATCACCCCATTTTTAGGTGAGCAGAAGTAAAGGAACAAATAGTCTTAAATAACATTTAATATTTGCTTTCATAACACATGTTAGTAATAACAGCAACAAGCCTGAGACCCATTAACGTAACTAAACTGTTGCAGTGTTCATGTGTGATGCATTTCCAGACTTTTAACGTAGTCTTTTTTAGTTTTTTTTTTGGGGGGGGCTCTTCTTTCAGTCTCCTCTTCAAGAGACGAAATGCATGTCCTATTGGATTATGATGCGGTGATTGACTTGGCCAGCCTACAACTTTCCACTTTTTTCCTTTAGTTGTGTTGGAGGTATGTTTTGGGTCATTTTCATGCCTTATGATAAACTTCCACCCGATTACATTAGAGGCAAGTCTCTGTAAATTGACAGACGAAATGTTTCTGTGGACCTTTGAAGTCATTCTACTGCTAGCGTAATGAGATACATACTTAATAATTATAAATGAGCTTGTTCCGGAAGCAGCGTTGCAAGCCAAAGCCAAGCCACTGCCATCATGCTTCACAGATGAGTTTGTATGCTTTGGATCATAAGCAGATCTTTCCTTTCTCCACAATTTGGCCTTTTCATCACTTTGGTGGAAATTAATCTTGGCCTCACCACTTCATGAAACATTCTTCCAGAAGTTTGTCACTGACCTTCCGATTCTTACTACTGGTAAATGGTTCGCATCTTGTGATATGGCCTCTATATTTCTATTTTCAATGTCTTCGAACGGTGGAGTGTGAAACCTTCACCTCTGCACCCTTGAGGTTGTTGATGTCACTGGCTGTTGTTTTGGAGATTTTCTCACAGCTCTAACAATGTTTCTGTCATCAATTGTTCTTTTCCTTGGCCGACCTGTTCTGTGTCTGTTACTCTGTACACTAATACTTTTTCCTTTTTCAGGACATTCCAGATTGTTCTGTTGGTTATACGCAATATTTGTCCAATGACTGATCAATTTTCCTTCTTTTCTCAGCTTGAAAGTGGCTTGCATTTCTCCCAGAGACATCTCTCTCGTCTACATGTTGATTTATCCTTTTTACCAAGAAATAGTCTTTACAGGTGAAACCCAATTCTAAAACCAAGTGTAGTCATTCAGAGCAATTTAATGTTTAAACAACCAATCTAAAAGACAACACCTCGGCAACAAGAAACACCTGTCAGTCACGTGTTCCAATAGTTTTGCTCACTTGAAAAATGAATGAGTTCAAACAAACGGTGGTATGTCCTAAGTTGTTTAACACATGTAAAAGCAAATATCAGGAAATAAAAAATAAAATCTAAAATTCTGAACTCTTGTCTCATATCCATTAAACTGAGGGCTCAATGCCAAATTCTACAGAGCCTAAATATAATACAATAATATTATCAATATCAAAATCCTGATGATTGTTATTACATGAAACTTTCAGCAGAGGATTTTGTCAATGAGAATATATATATATATATATATATATATATATACACGATATTGCATACTGAGTGATGATATTAATAAAATAGTGTTCAATGTAATATAACAGAGCTATTAAGTATATATTCTTATATATTATTTTTTATTTAAATAATGCCAACTTTAAATAAAAATTAATACTTTTTAAAATGTAGTTTTTAGGTCAGTCTATTTTAATATATATATTTTAGAAATACCATTAAGCCTTATTTATTTTAAATTTTTATATTAAATATTAATCAGCGTTTATTTTAAATATAAAAAAAAAATGACATATTTTACATGCAATATATATATATATATATATATATATATATATATATATATATATATATATATATGAATATATGAATGAATGATAACCCAGTCATATATATTTGAATGATTGTGTTAACAAGTTATTTTTATTAAAATTTAGATTATCTAACGGTCAATCTCTACCCACCATCTAAATATTGCGTTGGGCATGAAACTCCGATTCGTGCTACTGGTGTGGATAATATATATATATATATATATATATATATATATATATATATATATATATATATATATATATATTAACAAAATCAAAGGTCGTTAGATTTGATTAGGTATTTCATCATTTTGTTTTGGGAATATTTATATTCATGCGTATAGTTGTTTTGCTTTTAATATATGTCTTTGTCAAATGTGTTTATTCAATCATTTATTACTGACAGAAATCACGCAGAACTTATTTTGACAAGATGCGTATTATTGGCACTACTCTCTTCTATAGCAAGACTGGTGTAGATACTCGTATTTTTTTGTGCATTGCATTGCCAGAACGATAAATCAGAAGATGACACCAGTTCTGCAGCCGTCTTTTCAGATTCTACAACCTCTTCTATTTCCACCCCAACAGACCGGACCGCTACCGCACGAGATGACATTGAAGTATTGAATGTTTATTTCTGCATCTTCGATCGGACAAGGTGAAATTTTGGCTGAGCTGTGCGTACTCACTGTTTGCGTAGTAGAAAGACATTTCTCCTACTTCTTTATAAGGAAGAAGGAAGTAGCAGTATCTGTGGATACAATGCCCAATTTTGTTTATTTGACTCGGTTCAGGAATTTGATTCTTTCTTTCTTCGTTTATTCCTGTGCTATATTTCCCCAGAGACGTTTCTTTGGAGCTAGTTCACTATTTTATTTGTTCCCCTCACATTACTTTCTTGTATTTTATTTCTCTGTCCACGTTTTTGGCCATGAATTTTTGCAACGTTTCTTTTATTTTTCTTCTAATTTCTCCAGCCATTAATGTCTTTCATATTCTTAACTAAAAACACATTTCAGCCATTATTTTTTCTTCTTCTTCTTCTTCTTCTTCTTCTTCTTCTTCTTCTCCTCCTCCTCTTTCTCTCTTTTATTCATTTCTCTGTTTATCTTTCCCATTATGCTTTCCTAATTTTTTTTTTCTTTTTCGCTGTTCATTTCTCATTTTTCCTCCCTCCATTTTTCTTTTTCTCGGTTAATTTCTTCCTGTTTCTTTTTCTTGTTTCTTTTTCTTTGCAGATTCATCCTCTTTTCCTTCCTTCTTTCTCTTTCTCTGTTTATTTCTCGCTCTTTCCTTCCTTCCTTCTTTCTTTTCTTTCATTCATTTCTTCCTTTTTCCTTCCACATTTTTATAGATTTCTTTTCCTCGGTTAAATTCTCTCTCTCTCTTTTTAAATTTTCCTCGTTTCTTATTCTTCTTTTAATTTTGTTTTCACTAGTTCTTCAGTTTTTCTTCATATAGGACTTAATTCATTTTTCTACTTTAAATTTACTTCATTTTATATTTCATTATTTTTTCCAAATTCGAGGATTTTATGCAGAATTTCATTATGTGTCCAAACAAGTGATGTCAACCGACATTGAAATTCAGATAAGTTACATGATTCTTTAAGGAATCTATTCATATTTCTATTCATAGTGGACATTCTTTCTTTCTTTCTCTCCCTATCATTTCTCCCTCTTTCTTTTTTCTTTCTTTATATATCTCCATTTTTCTCTCTCTCTCTTTCTCTCACTTTCTCACTCAGTTTCTTTATTTCTTTTTCTCTTTTTCTCTTTCTCTTTCTTTCACTCTCTTTCTATCCCCTTTCTCCCTTTCTCTCTCTCTCCCATTCCTTTCTCTCTTTTTCCCTCCCCTTTCTTTCTCTCTCCCCAATTCTTGTTCTACCTTTCCTTCTCTCCTTTTCTCTCTTTCTCCCTCTCTTTCTCATTTTTCACTCTCTCTTTCTCTCTCTCTCTCTCCATTGTTTTCTATCTTTCCTTTTCAATCTATTGAACATTCTCTATTTCCTTATTTCACTGTCTGCCTTTCTTTCTTATCACTTTCTCTCTCCATTTTTATCTCCTTTTCTCTCTCTCCACCCTCTCTCCAAACTAGCAGAATACCGTACTGTATTTTAACGCAATTTAATTTTTAGTATGACCTCATATTCTACTTCGGCAGAGCAAAAACATTTAAAAATTATTAAGGCGTAAAAAGACTTAAAAGTAAGTACCTCCAATTTTTCGCGAAAAAAAACCCAGCATATAATGAAAAAACGCCCCAAACTCAATAAAAACAAATCTTTGTCATCAAAATGTTTATGTTATTATTAAGAGGAATGACCAAAGTATATTTTTTATTAGTTTTTGAAATTTTTTACTCCTTTGTAAAACGTTGTAAATTTTGGTTAAAAATCTTGTTTTTTTTTAGCGGCAGACCAAAGATAAAGGTTAGATGTTTTTGCGTTTTTTTTTCTGGTGAAAATCACATTGGTTTGGAAATTCTTGCAAAATTCAAATAATTGTCGGATTTTAATTAAACTTTCAGGACATATTCAGAAATGAATGAAATTATTTTTTAAATGTTTTTTAGAAAATTTTGGTAATTTTTTTTTTTTACATACATTACCACCCACTTATATAATTTCATGAAATTTCGAGAAATTAAATTTTTAGGACGGGGATTTTTTATTAGTTAAAACAGAACTCTTTGGAGAAAGTAAATCATCCTTTTTTATTTTATTTTATTTTATTTTTTCGTAAAATAGTTACTCGTTTCATCGAAAATCTCTGAATTGTAAAATAAAAATGCAATAAAACTATGACATTATTTGATTAGAAAAGCTTTTAATTACTTTTGTAAATAAGTTATATTAAGGATATTATTGTCTGAAGAAATAAAAAAATTTCATCAATAATGAATTTTTACAAGAATTTAAAAAAAAAATTAATTATAATAATATAATAGTTCAAAAATCGTTTAAAATTCTTCATTGCTTTGAAAACGGCGGTTTGCGAATCAAAACTTCAAAAACTCATAACAGTCGTTTGTACCCAAATATATATATATTTTAATTTAAAAAATAATTTTTCGTAAAAAAAAGTTCCTAATTCCTACCTATGGGAATCTATACATTACATAAGCCTTAAGAAGGTCACGTGATTTAAGTGTCGTCTGGCGCACTGCAATTATTTCACTTTTTTTTCAAACCCCTGAGGTCTTTCTGAGGTGAATTTTAACTGGGGAAAGATCGTGGTTTACCAATGTGATCGAGAAGATAAAGATGAATTAAAGCAATGGTTAGCCAAAGGTAGAAACGGTAATAGTAATATTAGCTGTGTTTCTTTATAATTAAATATTCGATATTCATTGACCGACCAGTCAGTGCTACTATCAAGTGAAATCTTTCTCTTAAAACAATGTTTTAGGAAAATAGTTTTTTTTCATGTCCTGTAACTGTTCTTGCTCTTTCCTGTGTTGATAGAAGCTTCCTTCCTAACCTTATGTTTGAAGGGTGTGATACGTCAATATCATGATTATACCATTATTTTCTTTTTCGAATTTATATGCTATCCAGTTTAATTGTTGCTATAGTTGAAAGTCCTGAAGTTATGTGGTTTCTGTTATTTGGTACAGTTCTTTGTGATTCTGTAACCGGAGGTGTGTGGTCTTCATCAAAACTCACAGGCTTCACTCGCTCAAAGACATTTTTAACCAGTGGTCTTAGAAAGTGGTAATATACAACTGGCAATTTAGATATTTCTGAACAGATTTGGTGCCATACATTACATCCATATGAAAATATCGAGGCGATTTGAGATCATGACTCGTGGTTTAGGTTAATGATTTTTTTGTTTGTAGCTATTTTGGTGTTGAGCGTAACTAACCATAGCAGAGTCTATTCTATGTTCAGTTGCTTTAACTCTTATATAAATGTGTTATAACTAAACCATACTCCAGTATATGTGGAGTGTTTACTAATTCGATATCCTCAATTTTTATGATGGATTCAAGGTAGGTGCCATCAGTTTTTTCATCCCAGTTCCAAATCATAGTTTCTGTTTTAGAAAGGCTTATTCTGGGTCCTATGTCTTGGAACACACCATGGCTTAACTGTTATCGGCAAAAAATCTACAAAACCAAGTTATTAATATTTCAACTCTTAGAAAAGACTTTTATCCTCTGTTCCCTTTCTTATATCTACTAATGCCTGAAAGTGATATAATGAGTACTTACGTCTCCTTTTCATATCTGCTTCCCTGTCTACGTACCCAGACAGTGTTGAACTTGTAATGTATTTTTAGTAAATTGATTCCTTAATGGATGCTATGAATATGTTCCAAAGGTGACCGAGTTCATAAGGTCATCCTCCATATATTTATGTCTAAATATTGATTTATGTCACACAAACCTCTCTGCAGCAGGAATCTCTGGAGTCCTATTTCTTGTTTAACCAAAGACCCTCAGCAAGTAAAGGATTATCTGTTCACTGTAGTCACCATTTTCTTGCTAGGGCATAAAGTAAATGAAATGTCACCAATCCGAAAATTGATGATACCGCGTGTGGGGGTAATATTAAGAATGGGTGGTGTAGAGAAACTAAAACACAAAGCAAATATATATCAGCAAAATACTGCACACACACACACACACACACACACACACACATATATATATATATATATATATATATATATATATATATATATGCATGCATACATATATACACACATATATATATACACATTCATACACACATATACACACGCATATATATACGCACACACGCACACACATACAGTTTAAGATTTTCAATATTTGTGAGGAATAGTTCTTAATAATTTGGGATTAGTCTTTTAGTTACACTCTCAATCTTTATATATATATTACAGTTACATTAAGTTTGTCTTCGTAATTCACCCCTGAGGATGATCCCAGAAGAGGTTGAAATACGGCGTCTTCTTTAATGAATTTCAAGTTAACATCGAGAAGATAATTAGAGAACTAGAAAAGATTATTATAAAATCAGACATAATATATCGATATTATTTAATGAAACATGTTTAATGAAGATATATATATATATATATATATATATATATATATATATATATATATATATATATACATAGGCAGCATATCATCATATACATATATTATAAAAATATAATATAAACCTTAAAATAAGTTTAAAATATAAAATAAAGTAAGGCCTCAACGAAAAAAATGCTTAAATATCATATATTATAATAATATTATCAATATTATAATATCAAAACCCGAAATAATATAAAAACATTGATTCTATTGTGTATATGTATATATATATATATATATATATATATATATATATATATATATATATATATATATATATATATATATATATATATAATATGTGTTCGTGTTTCCCTCTTCACTTTTATAATCTTATTTCAGTAAGTCTATTTTATTCATTTGGGACGTATATTTAAATGTTGTGTATGTATTTGTTTTCTTATATATGCATATAATAACTTGATTTCTAAATTCTTGTACTTATTTATCAACTTTGCTCACCTGTCTACATTTACGAAAATATCAATAGATCGACTCTCTCTCTCTCTGTCTCTCTTTCTCTCTCTCTCTCTCTCGTACTTGAAATATTTCAGTCTAACACCATGCAAATATCCATATCCGTTTTTCTTTCACTTGAAAAGATTCTTGACATTTATAACATTTGGGGAAACGATTTCTCATTTCAAGTCTGCTTGTTTTATTATCGCTTTCTGCTGTGAATTGCGTATATTTTTGACGTTCATAAATCTCCCTTTCAAGGAGATTCTTCTCACCAATAAATATCACAAAAATAAGATGAAAAATATAAGTATACACAGGCGAGTGAAGGGGCTCACGAAGAATTTGTTATACATCTTAATAATATAGACATCTTTAAAAATGAAATTGGGGAATAATTCAGAGAAATGTGTTTGTAGCAATATTTAATGTTGTAAGTTGGAGTGCAATTGATTTTAAATTATATTATTCTCAACTATTAGCATATATTTGGAATATAGGTATTCATTCAAATTAGGCCCTTAAACGTATTTTATGATGAATGCATACAATTCTGCAAGCCATGCACAAATGTCTGTACAAATTTCTAGAAACAAACAACTTGCCAATTCAGTGTTCCTTCATATTATCCTTCCTCTTATCTGAAACTGGGATATCCACGGGACAATAACGTAGGGGATTAAAACTTTGGTTCGGGAATTTAGTGATATAGTAATTGTGAGATGAATCCCTGGACCGAGCAGTGTGTGCTTAGACTCAGTGGAAAATACGTTCAGAATCATGATACATTTGGTCCCAAGGTATTACAATTCTTGTAATACATTTGTACACAGGACACATTTATTTTGTCACGTGTCACATTCTGAGACATACCTTGTTCCATTTATACTTGTTTGTGAATAATTGGTCCTATGCTATTGTTTATGTGTTCGTTTCCACTTTACGGTTGTTACCTTTTTTAGCTAAATATATCTCATAAATTTATGGCTGGCCTGTTTTCGGAATTCATGCTTTTCTTGCTGTTTTCTTTGTATATATATATATATATTTATCATCAACTATAATTTAAACGTTCGATATCTAGCGTTCCATTTCGATATTTCATTAATATAATACATTTTTGTGGTCGCTTTTAATCTAAAAATCCTTCTTTTATTTATGTTTAGAAAATTAACAAATGAGTACCTCTTTTTTGAATCGTGTAGATGTTTTTGTTTCGCTTACATTCTCCATAGTACTTGTTTTTGAAAAATCTTATTATTTTTTATAACTTTCTTTTTCTCCTTTTCCCACTCTTTCGTCATTATTATTATTATTATTATTATTGTTGTTGTTGTTGTTGTTGTGACTGAGAGAGAGCATTGCCCTTCCCCCAAAGAAAAAGTATCGCTAGAGTACAAATATACGATGCCCAATACAGGCATTATGACACCCAGTCTTTGATAAGGGGATATAAGACACAGACATCACAACCAGATGAGTGCAATATGGCGACAGGCTTTTGATAAAAACAGAGCAATTTTTTGCAGGTTGACCTCAGAAATAGTTCAAACTCGGGTAACTCAGTCCACTCACTGAGGATGTACCCACAAGTAGCTAGTACATCTAGATACATATAGGATGAGGTAGCAAAATATCATCGGCTGCCTCATCCTTCAAACTTAAAAAAAACACCCTTTTGACAGTCAGATATGTTCTCGTTTTCTTCTTCTTCTTCTTCTTCTTCTTCTTCTTCTTCTTATTATTATTATTATTATTATTATTATTATTATTATTTATGTTATTGTTTTTAATAAATTCTTTTGCACATATGCCTGCTTGTTTACTCTTGAAAGTAAATGGCAGCAAGTCTCTTGATTCTAATGTTTTGTAATGATCGCAAGCAAACCAAAAGCACATGCACATGATTCTAACCTACAGTTGTCTCAGTTTTATTCACCCTAGAATCGCTATGTCCACAATCTAGTGTATCTATGTTTTCTTTGTGGAACATTTCGGCTGTGAAAGTTTGTATCTCCTCTTTTCGACTGTCTATACAGTGATTTAATATTTCATTTTCTACTTTCCCTTACGGTATTCCTCGCTATTCCCAAGAGAGAGTATAACGGAAGAAAGAAATACGATAAGTATTTCTCTCTCTTCTTACAACGTCTCTTGTTGCGACTAATCGTTTGCATGATCTTCTCACCTTATCTGCTTATTATCATCATTATTATCATTTTTATTTCCCTATAATATATGTATCTGAGGGGGGATTAGTAAATCTTGAACTTGATACATATTAATTAGTCGAGTTACGATGTTCATTTTCACTCTCTTGTATCCGAATTATGTGATTAATATACATATATGTGTGTGTGTGTGTGTGATTTTATTTAAAAAACCCAGACTGTAAATAAATGGACTGATCCGCTATTAAAAATCAACACCTGATGATTGCACTGTGCATGGAACTCAGTGTTGCTCTATTCGTGAAGAAAAATGCAATTTTTTGGACGTAACTAATACGACAAATTTTTTATTAATTGGAAAGACATACTCCATGCTAACTCCTATGGATTAAAAGACTTCAAAACATCATAACTATCTTTCGGACTATATGTCCACCGATTTGGTCCGAAAGTTCGATTTAGACCGAAAAGTCCAGCCAAAATTTGAGTTCTTCAAATCATAAACTCCGTGGAACTTCAGAACATCACCTTAACTATCTTTGGACTGGTCCAATTAAAAAGACCGATTTGGTCCAAAAAGTTCGATTTAGACCGAAACTGATCCAGGCCAAAATTTGAGTTCTTCAAATCATAAACTCCATGGAACTTCAAAACATCACCTTAACTATCTTTCGGACTATATGTCCAATTCCGCTCAAAAGACCGATTTGGTCCGAAAGTTCGATTTAGACCGAAATTCTGATCCAGGCCAAAATTTGAGTTCTTCAAATCATAAATCCGTGGATCTTCAAAAAACCTTAACTATCTTTCGGACTATACAATTCCGCTCAAAAAGACCGATTTGGTCCGAAAGTTCGATTTAGACCGAAATTCTGATCCAGGCCAAAATTTGAGTTCTTCAAATTAAACTCCGTGGACAATTCCGCTCAAAAGACCGATTTGGTCCGAAAGTTCGATTTATGTTCTTCATAAAATTCCGCTCAATTCCGCTCAAAGACCGATTTGGTCCGAAAGTTCGATTTAGACCGAAATTCTGATCCAGGCCAAAATTTGAGTTCTTCAAATCATAAACTCCGTGGAACTTCAAAACATCACCTTAACTATCTTTCGGACTATATGTCCAATTCCGCTCAAAAGACCGATTTGGTCCGAAAGTTCGATTTAGACCGAAATTCTGATCCAGGCCAAAATTTGAGTTCTTCAAATCATAAACTCCGTGGATCTTCAAAACATCACCTTAACTATCTTTCGGACTATATGTCCAATTCCGCTCAAAAGACCGATTTGGTCCAGGCCAAAAGTTCGATTTAGACCGAAATCTTTCGGACTGATCCAGGCCAAAAACCGATTTTGAGTTCTTCAAATCATAAACTCCGTGGATCTTCAAAACATCACCTTAACTATCTTTCGGACTATATGTCCAATTCCGCTCAAAAGACCGATTTGGTCCGAAAGTTCGATTTAGACCGAAATTCTGATCCAGGCCAAAATTTGAGTTCTTCAAATCATAAACTCCGTGGATCTTCAAAACATCAACTTAACTATCTTTTCTTTCGGACTATATAGACCGAAATTCTGATCCAGCTCAAAAGACCGATTTGGTCCGAAAGTTCGATTTAGACCATTGGAAGGCCAAAATTTGAGTTCTTCAAATCATAAACTCCATGGAACTTCAAAACTTCACGTCAAACCCCCTCTCACATTAAGTCTGATTCTTTGGCATTTTGAAGAAATAAAATTAATTTCCTCAATTCACAAAGTTTTGGAGATATTTTAAACTTAATTTAAAACAAAAAATATAAATTCACTATCAATATCAATTAAAAAGTTAAAATCACTAATTTTTTTCATTTTTTTTTTTTTTAATTGAATTTTGAAATGTTTCTTCGTCTACCGGACACAAATTCCAATGCTGGTTGTTCGAGTACCAGATGGAATGCAGATTTTCAATCCCGGATACATCCTGATTGCAAAAACAAGGTATAATATGTCTATGTAGTGCAAGTGCGGTCCAGTTAGAGAGTTTTCAGATACACGGGTGGACAGACAGAATTTGATGTTCATTTATTTAGATATAAATTCTAGATCTCTTATTATACATAGAGCACTGTTTTATTGACACCAAAACTCAATGTGCGATATTTTATATTCATATGCGTGTGTGTGTGTATGTGTGTGAAAGAGAGTGTGTGTGTGTGTGTATTAATAAATATATGTTTTGATCAATGTGTACTGTGTTATTGTCGCATGTATTTAGCTAAATTCTCCGGTTAGACAGAAGTTATTTCTCCTTTTTGTTTTTCTTCTATTTTCTTCCGTACTATGAATGTCAAAGGAACGTAAAAGAGCAGACAAAGTATTAAGAAAACTTGGCGAAGAAGACTGTAAAAAGGAAAATATTTATCGCAACAAATCAAATTTTGATTTTAAGTGGATGAAAGTATTAGAAGTTGCTTTCTCTTAAATGATCCGTTGCTTTCAGTAATAGTGTTATATGTAAAAGAAAATTATAAGAATTTAACAGTAAATGCTACAGACTTTTCATCTATTTTGACAATCGTCTTAATTCATCGATAAATGTGTATAAATGATTATATTTGCGGTGGTTTGCGAGATTAAGTTCCTTAGCATCGTGTGAAGGAAACTTCTCTTTTTATTTTGAAATATTTGTTTATAATATATATTTTTAAAATGATAAAAAGGACAGAACAATATTGAAATCATGGTATTCATTCTCTTTATGGCAAAATTTAACGAATGAAATCCAAAACGAGTTTAGCTTCTCTGAAAAGTAGACATGTTAAGTGAGGTTTTAAACATATATATTTATCTATCTATCTATCTATCTATCTATCTATATATATATATATATATATATATATATATATATATATATATATATATAGATAGAGAGAGGGGGATAGATAGATAGATAGATAGATAGATAGATAGATAGATAGATAGATAGATAGATAGATAGATAGAAAAGAGTAAAAAAGATAAGAAGGCTTTCTGAAAATGTACCAAGAGATGGAAAAAATATACGTTCT